CACAGAAAGTTTATGCGTTGCATTTTCCGCCTTCTTCTGGCTGAAATTAGGAACGGTTGAACTCGTTCCTAATTTTTAAAAATGCTAAAAAACGAAAATGCGCGAAATCAACTTCGTCCAAACCATTATGCTCGAGACAGTTTTTTATCTTTGAACCACAGTTTCGCCACAAAAAATGAGATTTGGCTCCAAAAAAGCAACTAAAACAATGATAAATGGTATGGCGAAAAACCATTCGATGGCTACGATTTTTCATGCATTTCATCTCCAAATAAACTTCAAGTTTTGCCACCAGAGCAAAATGCCTAATTTGTTTTTTTTCTCGGAAAAAATAGATAGCAGAAACAGCTCATGGCGGAAATGCAAAAATCATTTCAAAAAAAAAATATTGATATCATGAGCTCAATATGAAACACAATTTACAGGTGCAATCATTTTTGATAAAAACTGAGGTTTTGAGCTTATTGATGCTCACTATAACTCCATATATCTATTATGACCGGAAACAGAAAGTTTAAGTGGCACCGTTTCCGCCTTATTGGCTATTTTTTGCATTTTTTTCTCAAGGAGAATGTGGATTTTTTTTCGAAAAATGAGACGCGCAAGCACAGTAAGAATTGTTTTTGGCTGCATGATCATTCTGCGTATTACACTGATGCTAGTCTAATTATCGTCTGATCTCGGCTCGTGTTTTATTCGATAGTAATAAAAAAAATTGGATTTAACACAACTCAAATTCATGAGAGGGAAATGAAAAATCAACCTCAATTGACTTTTTGTCCAAAATTAATGTTTCAAAGGTCCACCTAAAATCGCATAATTTAGCCTAAAGAGTCCGCCCTTCCTTCTAATATTACTGTTGTTAAAATCATCGCATAGCAAATTTTAACTAAACATAATTGATATCGTGTAAAAAAAACCGGAAAACATACTTTTTCGTTTTTTAGACTAAACAATTTCAGCCTACCTACAGAGCAGTCAGTAGAATCAGGGCTTCGCACTGATTCAACAAACTCTAGTCTTATTAAGCTAGGTATACATCATAAACAAGACTGCTACCATAAGGTAACAACCAGGGGAGCGGGTGCAAAGCGATTACGACTCTGCCTTGTAATCGGAAAGTCAGATGTTTGAGGACCACCATGATCCGTTGACTGAGGATGAGGCAAAATTACCCAGCCCAGAAAAAATAACCGAAAAAAACTGACAAAAACAACCGAAAAAAACTGACGAAAACAGCCGTACAGTTCTCCGTGATGAGTTGTACGGCTTCTAGGTAGGTTGGACCTTTTTGGTGGATAAATTGTCTTAATTTAACAAAATTGGTTCCCACATTTTAATTCGTTTTCACAATTTTAAAAATACAAGAACAAATATGCGCGAAATCAATTTCGTCCAAAACATTATGCTCAAGACAGTTTTACAAATCTGAACAACAGTTTCGCCAAAAAAGTCGGATTTAGTTCCAAAAAATAAGTCTAGAATAGCAATAGCATGTTTCATAAAATGGTTACGATTGTTTATGGATTTTATCTCAAAATCTAATTCAAGTTTGAGACCGAGAGCAAAATGGCAGGCAGGTGCTTCTAAATTTGAGAGATCCGCATTAAAAAATAAAGCCAGAGCATAGAAAAACAATCAAAAATTGCATGTGCGTCGTTATATACAATTGAAAATTATCTATTCAGACTTGAGTTCCCATTTATTTTTGGCCTCAATCACAGCAAAAAAAAACAAGCGATATCATGATAAAAATTTAACTTTACGTGAAAGACTAGATAATCATTTATCTATGCGGAGTTGCTAAAAATAAAAAAAGGAATTAAGACTCATTCGTAAATTTTTTTAATCAAAGATGTTGTTTTGCTTCTTTAAACTCATTGAAAAGCATATCCTCACAAAACAAAACAATCCAGTTGAAAATTTATAAATAGATTGTCACTTCCCGACTAGTTGTCACTTCCCGAATTATCAACTCCTGCGCTAATATCATTAAGCGCTATCTTCATATTAATTTTTAAAATGGCCAGAACAACATGAATCAATTTGGTGTAGTTATATTTTCTCAGTAAAAATAAAAAAAATCTGTGGCCGTACTCGACCTAATAATATCTTTTTCCAAAATAAACAACAATTTTCAAGCTATGAAAATGAATTAACCTCTTTTCTCACTTGCTGTAAGCAACAAGACGGCCAATTTCCCCAATTGATTGAAAACATATAAGAATAACAGTAGAAAAAAAACAGAAAAATCAGATTCTAAAATTCCGAGAGTCCGTATAGAATGCTATATATCGAAACATATTCCGGCAGCTCTTAAAATGACACCAATCATTTTCGTCACTCCGAGCGAAGTTTCGAAGAAGAGACCTTCAAATGTTGTGCTTCACGTTTTTTTCACTGACAACAAACATTTGAAAAAATCGACTAAGTTTTTCTGTGAAATTTTTTGTGAAAGCATTATCTATATAAAATTGATGCAAATAGCACCGCTAGTGGAGGCTAAAATTGTGTATTTAGGCGTGAAATCACATCTTCAAAGAAAAGGCTTCCTTTGGTTTAACTCAAACAGACGAGGACGCTGAGCAGAGGCAGAAATTCCCCCATTGAAAGATGAAAAAGACGTCTCAGATTTGTCTTGAAAGAAAAGATGAAAACTTTGATTCAACGGGGAAAACTTTTCATCTTTTATCTCTTGCCTACAAAATATTGGTGTCATCATCACATTCGAAAGGAAACATTCGATTGACTAGTACTGATGCTAACATTTACCTAAATCGGCCATCCATGGAAATTGGAAATAAGTACTCTTTCTGGGTACGCGTAACAATTCCTTGGATTAGGACATTTAGGGCAATTTGTGGCTTTGAGTCAAAAGATAAAAATTGATCTCACGATTCTTGTATTGTAAATCTTTTCTATGCCTAATTATAACTTAGTAAAAGCGCAGCTCAGGTGTATTCTAAATAGCTATTAAAGACTAACACTGTAAGATACTCAATATTGAATTGTTAGCTTAAAAAGACAAACTGATAACAAACAGGGGAGGGAGCATAATTGTGATAGTTAGTACCTGGATGCTGTTAAAATTGAAAATACCTATGATTTTTATTGCCCCCAACTTATCCTATATTTTCCCATCAGTTTTCCAAAAAAATCATCGGAAATGCTTAAAATGTTAGTTTTTTAGCGCGGCTTGCAATTTTCTAACTTTTGCGTTACTGAAAACCAGAGACTAGCACTCTAAAATTTTTGAAATTTTCAGTGAAATATATTATTTAGTCTTGCTCCAATAACTTCTTGTGTAGTGACTTTATAAACGAGAGATTGATGTGTTTTGAATACGATATCATATCCTTGATATGACGGTGTAAGGCCATAAATCACCAGATTCTAAAATGCGACTCCAAATTCGGTTGAGGTCAAAAGGATTTCAGCATGATCAGATGTTAGGAAATCGAGAAAACTTCAGCCTGAAGCTGTTCTCAAACTGAGCCTCCACGTGCATTTATCTGAACAAATCTTTCAGCTGTTCAGATTGGTGTCCCATAAATGAGACGACAGTTGTTAAGACGACAAGTGACGTTTTCTTCTGTAAATTTCTTGAAAGTAATATAACGTTATAAGAACCAATGGCGCTCTAGGATTTTATGGAGGGAGACGATTTTATGGATTTTTTTAGAACGACCAAATTGATTTTCAGCGCTCTCAAAATTTGCTTTGACAAAATGTTCCGCGCTTCGGGTTCAAAAACAAAAGATCAATTCTGGATAATTAACTCTAATTTTTCTGCAAATAGGATTCGTTTCAGCAAAAAAAAATCGCAATTTTTTTTTATAAGAGCTTCATCAACTCTAAAATAATGATGTAATTTATAAACTATGGTCCCAACGAGGAAAAAAATCGTCTAACTGTCTTGTCGTCTTAATGTTGTGTCGTCTTCTTAACATAGCACTATTCAGATTCAACCATATAAATACAGAGACTTATCTTTCAGGAAACCATTGACGAATTCTGCTATTGAAGAACAAAATATATTTAAACGAAAAAATTTGATTTTCCCCCAGGGTTTTTGATTTTACATCTGCTACTCGAAAGCAAAAAACCATGCAAGTTCGGGCAAATAAATTGTCAAACGGTCCAGTTAAATCAAATATGGGCATCAGTGGAATTATTTATATTCAATTTTGATTAATACTACATAATTCAAAAATGGTAATATTTCTGGGCAGGTTTTCAAAGAAAGCGAAAAAGTAAGAATACAACCTTTTATAATAGCCATTTTTTTGCTTTATTTCAAAATGCGTTCAGAATTTTCATCATTCGCGAATTCTAATCTAATTTCAATTCACCGATGAGCCTTTTGCTAGACATTGCCTATCTGGTGAATTATGTTAAGATATCTTGTTCTTCAGAAAAATTTTCTTGGCTTTAGAGTTACTAGTACTTCGAACTATTGCACAGTAACCATTGGCAATTCTACGTAGACGGAGCCATAAAATGGTTTGAAAGCTATTGATACAAGCCCCCAGTTATCGAGGCATAGCTAAACACAAAAGTGGTCAAACCACAAACTAAGCCGCAAATAAGACTCGTTTTACGGCCTCCTCAAAATGTGTGAGGTCTGAACATATAAGACTAGCACAATGGCAGCTTAAATGCGCCCGTCGTCGCAAGACTAAAGATTTAATTTGTAGCCCAAACATTTTAATGGCGCAAAATAAAATTTCTGCACCTGTACTTCTGTCTATTCATGATTATCATATCAAAAAGACAGTGAGTGTACCGAATCGAAATAATTTCGTAGTACTCAAAGTACACCCAAAAGATTTCCGATTTTAGCTGATTTCCGACTTCAGCCACGCTTGAATGGACCAAAGCGATGCAATTGTTTTTTTGAATCAATGGTGCAATAAATCAAATTTCATGACGTAATAAGTCTAATTACTTGGCATTAGTTTTAGGTATGTAATAATTTATGTAATACAAGGCTGACTGACCTGCCACAGGAGACTGTCTGGAGAGTACTGCCCATCTGTTCTTCCACTGAAACAGCAAAACATTAATAAAAAAAACTACTGGACCAATTATTAGAATACCAAGTAAGTTTCATTGGATCTAGCGGACAAAGCGGTCTTTTCTTTAAGTAGTGAGCATGACAAACGATCTTAGACTAATGACCTGGTACTCGCCCCAAAAGACCTACATTTCGATTATTAGAAATGATTAAACTATCATTAAAACATTAAGGACACTAAATTTATTAGACTATCATTCATCTCCGATCATTCGTAAAATGATTCGATCATTGAAAGCGATACGTTCTATTTAATTTAAGGTCAAGGATTTTAAGTCAGTTCCATCGGTTTGCTTATTTCTAAACCGAACTAAACTTAACCTAAATCAAAGCTTAGATACAATCTGGCAGCTTTTTGTTTACTCTGCCATCGAAATCTTAAACTCAAATACGTCGAGGAAAAGAGACTAATAAATAACTTGCGATATGATCAGCATGTCTAATTCGCAAACTTTAATCAGCGGTTTTTTCAATTTCATTCATGAAGTCAAAACTATAACGCAAACAGTATTTTTTTGTCTTTTTCATAAACACGGCAACAAAAATGGTGTCCAATAGTGGAATGCTCATGTATAAGCGAATTAAGTGTATAAATCACTTCACAAGTTTGTTCTACGGTGCTCGAAGGTTAGTAGTAAGTAGGGCTCAAATTCTTAGAGGATAATTGGGTCAAGCGACCCAATAAAAACAACAAGCAGACCCTTTAGCCACTTTTCTCACAAATTTAAACAATTAAGCTCTTTGAGCCTAGTCCCCCGTGAAACAATAACATTTAGGGCGAGGACCAGACGGCGTGCTTTGATTCTTTTCGAACACCAGGACAACAAGTACAATCATCACCCCCCCCCCCCCCCCACACACACACACACACACACAGACAAACAAAACGAAGGCAGGCGAATCAGAATAACGGAAATAATTTGATAGTTGTACTTCTCAAAAACAATAAAATTATGTCACTAGTGTCACTATCACAGAGCCTAGATATGGACCAGCAGGGAGACGCCCTTTTACCAGAATTTTTTTTCCGACCGACTTTTAGCCAAAAAATTGAAATACAGGCCTTTTACCAGACTACTTTGATAACTGTCTGCATTCGGAAGCTTAGATAACCTGATAGGGAAGCTTAGACAATAGTCGGATTTGAAGGGTCTCCGAAGCGCCAACTAATTTAGCGCCAAACACTGATTTTCGGGCAATTTACCTCCAAGTGCCGCCAAATATAAGCGCAGCGGAGCGAGCGCTCGCTAACCGTGAATATTTTGTCTGAAATGAGCGTTGAAGGAGGTAACTTGTTTTGTGGTCTGTTGAAAAGACCTAGCATCGAGAATAATTTTTTGTATTTTTAAGAGATAAAGAGATAGAGCAGTTTTTGTTGAAAGTTAAGTCAAGTAGAGCATAGATGCCTATTTGTTGTTTCTGAGAAATAATTGCAGCATTAATTTTATAATTTTTTTAGAAGATTTTTGAGAAAAATGATAAATTCTGCCGCATGATAGAAATTCTGCTCTATCTCCTGCTCTATAAAATATCTGCTCCATAAGCCGAATTCTGCGAAATTTGCTAAATTCTGCTGCTAGCAGAATCCTTTGGAACCTGACTGAAACCGAAACTCGAACATTTCACACATTTTATTTTGCCGACGCCTTATTGCGTGCAGATTGAGTTTGAGTTATTGTTCCGACTTTCGATACAGGGGCGGACGCGCCCCCCTCAGGGATTCGACCCCCTGCCGACCCAAACGGTCCCCCTTTGATACTTTTTCCGAAATCCAGTTTTGGCCGACCGACCCTAAAATTTTTCTAGAGACGCCTTCGGCGCCAATATATACTAACTTTGAGGACGATTTTTTTGTCAAAATTTTTCAAAAAGTTCCCAAAAACGGTTTTTTGACTGTTTTTTTTCAAAAATGCAGAAATTGTTGCCAAAATAGGGGCAAAACGGTGCTTTGGGAGAGCTCGAAAAATCAATTTGGTCGACCTAAAAAAAAAAAAAGTCGTCAAAATTTTGGAAATTTTTTGAAAATCCCCCCCCCCCTCGAGAAAATCCTAGATCCGCCCCTGTTTCGATACGAAAGTAACGGAATATTTGTGCTCGGGGTGGGTTTTTTTTTCAGACAAATTTCGACTTTTCTAGCCATTTTTGACTGATTTTGATATCATTCGAAAGCTATTGTTGTCCTGAGCTTATATTTGAAAAGATATTTCACCTGTGATCATTTTTCGTGAAGTTATGAGGGTTTAAAGATTGCCATTTTGACCAATTTCGGACAATTAACGCGCGATATAATTCGCGCTATTAACGCGTAAGCGAAGATTTAATCCGTCTTAGAAATTGTTCCAAATTAGTTGGAAGAAGCTTATTTGCCATAATTGATTTGTTACAAGGAGCGAAATCTATCCTTTTGTACTTTATATGGCATGTGGGAGGATGATTTTCATAAAAAATTTCAAATTTTAGAATTTTTGTTTCATTTTTATTACATTTCATTAAACATTAAAAGGCAGTCGGAACATTCAGGGCTTCGCCCTGATACGAGCAGTCTTGTTAACATTTTTAGCTTAGAAACCAAACTGCCATGCGTCAAAACTAATCAATGTAAACAATTAAGGGGAAAAAAGACGATTATTTAATTAATTCAATCTGCTCTTGGGTACGTTCTGTTCTTAGACCATTTTGTTCAGTATAAACCCATAGCTAACTTCCCATAGCTTACCTAAAATTTACTTCTGGAAAGTGGATTCGTTTCCATAGCTAATTTTTTTGCTTTTAAATAAGGGTACAAGTGTGACAGTGCTAAGTTTTTTGGCATACCGGTTTGTTAGTAAACCGATCTTTCAGAGACTCAAAACATAACAAAGTACGAATGCTAACTTCAAACGCCTCATTGGCGAGTTGCGACCACTGCGCTTTGGCTGATATAAGGAGGCTCTTAGCACAGTGCAAGGCGCTCCTTTCGAAAGCGCCAGATCGTGTAATCGCTCCCCTGCCACGGCAATAATAGTTTGTGAGGACGACCTTCTTTTTGATTTCTAGCTTGAAGTATACCGCAGCCTGACTAATTTTGGCTGCAATAACGGTACCAAGTGCAAGTTTTGGACCAAAAAAACGGCCTTGAGACGCAAAAAAAGCTTCACTCAAGTAAAATAACTCTGGAATGTGAAATACGGAAAATGGACTATCCTTCGACAAAATTTGTGAGACTGAGATCACAGAAACCACAATTATTGGGACGTCTCTATCACATTTATACCCAAATAAGGATTCTTAGATTTTAAAAAAAATGTCACTTTTTATTATAACATTAAACTCATTTTTTCTTAAACCATAACGCAAACTTGAAATAAATTGAAAAGCAGTCTTGAGTTTGCCCTGATACGTGTATGTTGTGCCAAATTTTTTGGCGGATGTTAACTTTTCTAAAATTAGTTTCTGAAAAAAATCAAAAAATGGGAGCCCAATAATGATACAAGTGCAAAACGTAAAACGTGCGTTAAAGTCACTTTCACTAGCCTTTTTCTGTGAGATTATTCAATATTATATTTCGCTTAAATGCTGATATCATATAGCTCCAACTTTCGGCGAAAATGATGATTATATCTGCTTGGGTTGGTTTTTTAATTCAGAATATTTTTCACTAATTTGGGAGCTCGATCCCTGGACCTATGTGCCCCCTAGCGTGCGCACATCCCTATTGTAGCTTGATGTCTTTTCAATCTAAACCGAGTCTATCTCGAGTAAGCGAAACTGATCATTTTATAAGTTGATGCTGAAAGTCAAGGCGAACAAGACTGCTCGTATATCAGGGCGAAACCATGAATGTTCCGAGTACCCACCCCTTAATCCATACCGAATAATTTTTGGGAAGGAAATTATTGAAAAATTATAAAAACTTTGGAGAATATCAAGTGTAAAAATTTGAGTCGTACGAAATGAATACGACCGATAAGCTAGTCTCAATTCAATTTTGGACGATTTCGTTGAGCGGGATAATTCGCCAGGCATAAACAATTCGCCTTCCGTTTTCAGCATTCCGAAAAAAACCTTAAGTTAGTCCAGAGCATGGCCAAATTGAACATTTTCAAACTCTCAAAACTTTTCAAAAAAGATCGGAGGTAATATACTTTTTTTAGATTTGATTTCAGGCAAGCGATATCTGCAATGGTGCATAAAAATATTTTGTTGAAAACTATTATTAAAGTGCAGTCGGGACAGTGCTTTGCCCTGATACGAGCAGTCTTCTAGTTCCTTTAGTGTAAAAATGGCCCCAAATTACTAAGCTCATACTATTTTTGATACGAGCAGTCTTGTTAACATTTTTAGCTTAGAAACCAAACTGCCATGCGTCAAAACTAATCAATGTAAACAATTAAGGGGAAAAAAGACGATTATTTAATTAATTCAATCTGCTCTTGGGTGCGTTCTGTTCTTAGACCATTTTGTTCAGTATAAACCCATAGCTAACTTCCCATAGCTTACCTAAAGTTTACTTCTGGAAAGTGGATTCGTTTCCATAGCTAATTTTTTTGCTTTTAAATAAGGGTACAAGTGTGATAGTGCTAAGTTTTTTGGCATACCGGTTTGTTAGTAAACCGATCTTTCAGAGACTCAAAACATAACAAAGTACGAATGCTAACTTCAAACGCCTCATTGGCGAGTTGCGACCACTGCGCTTTGGCTGATATAAGGAGGCTCTTAGCACAGTGCAAGGCGCTCCTTTCGAAAGCGCCAGATCGTGTAATCGCTCCCCTGCCACGGCAATAATAGTTTGTGAGGACGACCTTCTTTTTGATTTCTAGCTTGAAGTATACCGCAGCCTGACTAATTTTGGCTGCAAAAACGGTACCAAGTGCAAGTTTTAGACCAACAAAACGGCCTTGAGACGCAAAAAAAGCTTCACTCAAGTAAAATAACTCTGGAATGTGAAATACGGAAAATGGACTATCCTTCGACAAAATTATTGAGACTGAGATCACAGAAACCACAATTATTGGGACGTCTCTATCACATTTATACCCAAATAAGGATTCTTAGATTTAAAAAAAAATGTCACTTTTTATTATAACATTAAATTCATTTTTTCTTAAACCATAACGCAAACTTGAAATAAATTGAAAAGCAGTCTTGAGTTTGCCCTGATACGTGTATGTTGTGCCAAATTTTTTGGCGGATGTTAACTTTTCTAAAATTAGTTTCTGAAAAAATCAAAAAATGGGAGCCCAATAATGATACAAGTGCAAAACGTAAAACGTGCGTTAAAGTCACTTTCACTAGCCTTTTTCTGTGAGATTATTCAATATTATATTTCGCTTAAATGCTGATATCATATAGCTCCAACTTTCGGGGAAAATGATGATTATATCTGCTTGGGTTGGTTTTTTAATTCAGAATATTTTTCACTAATTTGGGAGCTCGATCCCTGGACCTATGTGCCCCCTAGCGTGCGCACACCCCTATTGTAGCTTGATGTCTTTTCAATCTAAACCGAGTCTATCTCGAGTAAGCGAAACTGATCATTTTATAAGTTGATGCTGAAAGTTCAAGGCGAACAAAACTGCTCGTATATCAGGGCGAAACCCTGAATGTTCCGAGTACCCACCCCTTAATCCATACCGAATAATTTTTGGGAAGGAAATTATTGAAAAATTATAAAAACTTTGGAGAATATCAAGTGTAAAAATTTGAGTCGTACGAAATGAATACGACCGATTAGCTAGTCTCAATTCAATTTTGGACGATTTCGTTGAGCGGGATAATTCGCCAGGCATAAACAATTCGCCTTCCGTTTTCAGCATTCCGAATAAAACCTTAAGTTAGTCCAGAGCATGGCCAAATTGAACATTTTCAAACTCTCAAAACTTTTCAAAAAAGATCGGAGGTAATATACTTTTTTTAGATTTGATTTCAGGTAAGCGATATCTGCAATGGTGCATAAAAATATTTTGTTGAAAACTATTATTAAAGTGCAGTCGGGACAGTGCTTTGCCCTGATACGAGCAGTCTTCTAGTTCCTTTAGTGTAAAAATGGCCCCAAATTACTAAGCTCATACTATTTTTGCTCATATTCGCTGGTTCCAACTTAGCAGATTTTTTCAAATTTGCTTGAAAACTTATGATGGCATTACTGGCCACTTAAAAATAATATTAAAAAAATTATTTGGCGCGTTTCCGTAGAAAACAGGCCCTCCCCAACTATGAGAAGTTCCAGCAAAGCTAGTACTTCAATTGAAACATTTTTAGAAAGAAAAATCGTATGCCCCCCTCCCCCTCCCTACAGTTCGCACCACCAACGATGGATGATTGGTTTCTCTTTACTCACTTTTTTGCCCTCCTTGAACTTGACAGCGCCCTCTTTGAGAACTACCCGGTCGTCGGACATGGTCAGCAACATAGGGACGCACAATCTGCACCTCAAAAGGTCACAATTCTTAAAAGGTCAAAGGTCAATTCAGGCCAACAGAGAGACAGACCACAAACGCCAGCTGCAGATGATTGGCTGCAATAATTTCTGAGAAGTAATTTCGTCTCTGTAAAATCAAGTGCCCAGCATAAATTTTGCCCACTTTTCTGATCACACTCAGCTCAGTATGTAAGTCCAGAGATTACGAATACTTTCGGCCACATTGAGCAAGTGAAACTTAAAATATTTCAAAGAATTTTGTCATTAAAGTTATATAAATTATTTTTCGATCAAATATTGAGATATGAAGTAAAGTGTTTCAGTAATTTGTGATGTAAGTTGGTTTGTTTTGTTGTCGATTTAGATGATAAATTTCGCAATATGACTATTTGTAAACTATGAATAATACAAACAAGGCGGTAACTTCCGAAACTATCTATCAATCAGTTGCCGTTTTCTCAGAAACTTACCTTTCTGAGTCAAAACTTCAATTGGTAAATCTAGATTTTCTGCCAGAATATCCGCTACAACTTTAAAACTATTTGTTTAGATAATCACTTACCTACCCCTGGATTTCGAGAGAATATTCAAAATATCGAAATAAGACTGCTGCAAAATTCGTAGTTGAGTTTGAGGTTTTCATTTGCAAGTTTCTTCGTGATATCGATATTTATGTGCTACTATCGATGCTTCGAACATGGACATGGTACAATTAGGAGCTGGTTTGTTTAAATGCTCACTTTTACTAATCGGTTTAAATGATGGATATTCAAGCACGTTTAATATTGTGTATGAGCCGATCATAAGTCGATGGTGAAGTTTGGGTGCTAAAATTGAGTCAGGCAGGAGCTATATCTGAGACGGCGAGCAAACATCACCCAAGCTCATAAGTAGAGATACTGTCATTTCAAAAGCATGAACCAAATTTTATGATATATTTTGCCACTCAACTTCGCACCATGCTCAAATCGCTGCTGGTCCATGCAATGACTTTAATTGCACAGCTGTGCTGACTAATTGGAAAGATCAATGGGTATAATGGTAAGATTGATAATTGCACTAAATAAAATCCAGGGACCTGAATCAAACACGCACCAAGTAATGCTTCAACAAATCGATGGCGTAATGATGCATAATGGCATAATCATGTAGAACTACCACAGATAAGATCATATCGTAACTCGAGTAGAATATTAAATCAAGAATCAGTAATTTTTTGAGAATTTATCTAAACAACTTTTTAATTTAAACAAATTTTTAGAACAGAGAGACGCGCGCATGTACTGAACTTACGCATGTAAATAATGATAGATGCGTATTTTGTTTCAAAAATTTAAAATGCTCAAAAAATCTTTAAATCAGCTCAATTTAAATCAGCGCAAAGCATAAAACAAATATGAGACACGTATTAGAATGCGGCCAACGTCTAAAATGCTTGAATTTATTTTTGTCGTCTACAGACAAAGCACAAATTTAATATTTTAGTTGTAAACTTTTCGCGATAGAATAAAATAGAGAGCTTCTAAGCATTTGGCGGAGAAAATACTGAGAATTCTGAGTTAAAGTTTGTTATTGTTAAGTATAAAAGTAGAGCGGCTCTTTGCCTTTTCTAACAAATAGCGAATTCTGTTTTGTGGATTTTGCCTTGTGTGTAAATTTCACTAGCAGTGTGTTGATTTTCCCGGCCTGTAGTGATTAGACTTATTTTCGTTTCGCTCGTGCGCACATGCGTTGCTTAGCTTACATGTGCACAAGATTTGCAATCGCGACTACAATACCACACTTATAAACATTCCGAGGCACGACAGTTGTTCGATAATATATTCATTTCAAGTCGTAAGAAACCATTCAGCTTTGAATACAATTCATTCTAGACACACTGAATGTATGCGACGGGAAAATAAATGGTCGTCTTTTACTTGATTATATTCATGCTCAATATTTGAAGACTGCAGGTGCCTGGATTTCTCAGCATACTACGCGCCTATTACATAATCCATAGCAATAAGACGATAGTTTTTCAGCCGCAAAAAAAAACAACTGTGTACTAGCAAATTTAACCTATATTGCACAGCAATTTTTGCTTAAGACTTCAGCTTTCGTTTAACTAGTCTATCGTCTAGTAGTAATTTTTTAAAGTATGTCGCGACTATGGCGTCTGGTTTTCGGGTAAATTTGTGTTACGCAACTGTCTGTATAAATGAACAGTCTTCGCTGCCGGTCGAATGAATAAGACGAGGACATCCGCTGTTGCCGCAGAGCTCTGCGGAAAGACTGCCAAAACCGCCAAATTGAACCAAATATTTTTTTCGATATTTTCTTTTACAGTATTTACCAAAATCGATCAGTAGTAATTAGGGGCGGGAGGAGGCAGGCATTATGAGATACAGGGGCACGCCCATTGCACAAATTTAGTCGTAAAGAGACACAGATGAACAAACACGCAGACAAGTTCGAATCTAATTTACTATTTCTAGTCTTTAGTGTTCTGTTACAGACCTACCCTAAGCTATATTTTGACCCCTTCTGTAATAGGTATCTTCTAAAATAGGTACAAACAGAAAATAAGGCGTATCTGATTGTACTGATTTGCCCTCGAAGTTGGAAAAATGGTATACCGCAGAACTAACCTTTTACCTGTGATTGGAGTCCCTAAACCATCATGCCAGGCCAGTGCATTTTAATAATCAATTACGTATTCGGGGCTAACTATTTTAAGAGCAATTAAGCTTTGTTCCAATTTGAATAATAACTTCTGATTCTGGTACTAAATTTGAATGGTTTAGACGAAAGCGTTACACATTTCATCGAAAATCGATCCTTGAATTTGAAAGTTCCACACGTCGAGAAAATCCCCTAATAACTGTTTTCCCGAAGTTCTCTTTGATATTCAGCAACCATCAGAGTGAGTTCTTTGATCGGCTAAAATGGCTAGCTGAAAAGTTTTGGTCTTTTTTATTACTCCGACTTTCGAAAAAAACGGAATAATTGTTGCGGCTTTCGAAGAAAACGCTGAGTATTTATGCTTGGCGTGGTTTCTGTTCCGACTTTCAAAGAAAGCGGAATATTTATGCTTGGTGTGAATTTTTTTATTCAGTCGATTTTCGGCTTTGAAAATTAGAGTTTTTAACAAATTTTTTGTACCCCATTGAAGATATCGACTCCTTGAAATCAAAATTAACAAAAATTTTACATCCGATCGATTTGCGAAGTTCTGGAAGTTTGAAAATTGCCAATTTGGCCATGCTCTGGACTAATTAATGCGCGTTTTAAAGATTTTATTTAGAACGCTGAAATGGTAAGGCGAATGGTTAATGAGTGGCGATTTATCTCGCTCAACGATAATTTTTCCTAAATGAATTGAGGCAAGATAATCGATATTGTCCAATATTTATAATTTTTTGGTTTTTCCCCCCAAAAATTTATTCGATATAAATTAAAGGGCAGTCGGAACATTCAGGGCTTTGCCCTGTTATACGAGCTGTCTCTTTTTTATTCAGTCAATTTTCGACTTGTTAACTAAGCGTTTTTGACAGAAGTTTTTACACCATCTTAGAGATATTGTTATCCTAAGCTCAAAATTCAAAAGATACATCAGCTGTGATCATGTTTCGTAAGTTACAGACATTTGAAAATTGCAAAGTTGACCAATCGGGGATAATTAAAGTGCGATATTTTGCGTAATTATAACAAAGCCAACTAACGCGTCCAAATTGAATTGAACTAGCATTTTATTCCTATTATCACAAAAAGAGACGCCAGAAACAACCTTTATATCTAACATAGCTAGATAAAATGAAGAAAATGTCTTTTTTTTAAGTTATTTTGTCATTTTTTCAGCCACAATTTTTTTTTAAATGGCCCTAAGTGCAGTTGGAACATTCAGGGCTTGGCCCTGCTATACGAGCAGTTTTGTTATACATGGTGTGGTCTTTTTATTCAGTCAATTTTTGTCGATCGAAAGAATAGTTCTCAACAAGGAGGTTTATATCCGGTTAAAGATTTTGACTCCTTGAAAACAAACTTGAAAAGATATTTTATCTGCAATCATTTTTGCAAAATTTTGGAAATTTGCCAAAATTTTGAAAATTGCCAATTTGGCCATGCTTTGAACTAATTAATGAGCGTTTTGAAATTTTTTTTCTTCAAAAAGCTGAAAGCGTATTATTTGTGCGTGGTGACTCCCGCTCATTAAAATTGTTCCTGATTGAATTGGAAAAAGTTAATCGATCGTATTAATTTCTTACGTTTTAATTTTTTTTGCACTCATTTCTTTATTTTGTCCAAAATTCATAGTTTTTCAGCATTTTCTCCTGCCGAAAATCTATTGGATACAGAGTAAGGGGCAGTCGGATCGTTGAAGGCTTTGCCCTGATAAACGAGCTTACTTGTTTTTTTATTCAGTCAGTTTTCGATTTGTTAACTAAGCGTTTTGGGTGGAGTTTATGCGTGGCGAATTATTCCGCTCAACAAAATTGTTCCTGATTGAATTGAGTAAAGCTAATCGATCGTATTAATTTCTTACGATATAATTTTTTTTCACTTATTTTTTGTTTTGTTCAAAATTTATAGTTTTTCAGTATTTTTTTTCCATAAATCAATCGATACCGAGTAAGGGGCAGTCGAAATTTCATGGCTTTTCTCTGACATACAAACAGTCTTGTTCTACTAGTCGTGGTTTTTTATTCAGTCGTTTTTCAGGGATCGAAATCATAGATTGTAAATAAAAAAATTTTATACCGCATCAAAATTTTTGACTCCCTGAAAACAAATTTAAAAAGATATTTTACCTCCGATTGTTTTTGCAAAGTTCTGAAAGTTTGAAAATGGCCATCAATTGATGCGCAATTTAAAATTTTATCAAACTGCTGAAAAAATAAGGCAAATTGCTTATGCCTGGCGAAGCATCCCGGTAAATAAAATTGTTTCTGATTGAATTGAGGAAAACCAAGCTATCGTATTATTTTCACCACTTATTTTTTGTTGTTGTTGAGTTTGTCCAAATTTCTTTGGTTTTGTCAGAATTTTTTTTTGTGGTTATTTTTCAGAACCTTGTAGTTTTTTCAGAACCTTGTTTTTCTGATCAGTCAATTTTCGACTTGTTAACTCAGCGTTTTTGACAGAGTCTATGCGTGGCAAATTATCCCGCTCAACCAAAATTTTCCTGATCGATTTGAGAAAAACTGATCGTTTTAATTTTGTACGATTTAATTTTCCACTCTTGAGTTTTGATATTGTCCACAATTTATAGTTTTTCAGTATTTTTTTGCGAAAGTCTATTCTAATTAGCTTAAGGGACAGTCGGAACTTTCAAGGCTTTGCTCTAACATACGAGCAACCTTGTTTTTTCAATCAAGTAATTTTCGAATTGTTAACTAAACGTTTTTGACAAAAATTTTTCACACCATCTGAGAGATATTGTTATCTTTAGCTCAAATTTGAAAAATATATCAATTTAAATTATTATTTTTTAAAAAGTTACAGTCATCTGAAAGTTGCTATTTTGACCAGTTTGGGGTTATCAAAGTGCAATTTGAGCGTACTCATAACACGCGTAAGTAGCAAATTGAAGCGTTTTAAGTTGAATTGAGCAAGCGTTTTAAAACTTTTTCACAAACCGAGATTTTAAACGCAACATTAATAGTTAACATAGCATGATGAAAAAAGGAATAGTGGAAAATTTCTTTTTTTTTGAATTGTTTTGTCAGTTTTTCCATCAGAAAAATTTTTTCAATTGGCCCTGAAACCAGTCGAAATGTTCAGGGCTTAGACTTGATATATGAGCAGTCTTGTTATCTTTGGTGTGGTATTATTATTCAGTCATTTTAGCGATCGGAAGAACAGTTCTCAACAAAAAAGTCTATATCCAATTAAAAATTTTGACCCATTGAAATCAATTTTGAAAAGATATTTCACCTGCAATCATTTTTGCAAAGTTCTGAATGTTTGAAAATTGCCAATTTTGCCATGCTTTGAACTAATTTATAAGCGTTTTGAAGAGTTTTTTTAAATAAATCTGAAAACGTAATACTCGTGCATCTTAAACTATCCCGCTCAATAAAAATGTTCTTGATTGAATTGAGGAAAGCTAATTGATCGTATAATTTTCTTACGCCTTAATTTTTTGCACTTAATTTTTTATTTTGTCCATAACTTATATTTTTCAGTATTTTCCCCTCTCAAAAATCTATTTGATACAGAGTCAGGGGCAGTCGGATCAATCAAGGTTTTGCCCTGACAAACGAGCTACTTTGTTTTTTTACTCAGTCAGTTTTCAACTTGTTAACTAAGCATTTTTGACGGATTCTCTGCGTGGCGAGTTGTCTCGCTCAACGAAATTGTTCCTGATCGAATTGAGGAAAGCTAATTGATTGTTTTTTTTTCGTACGACTTAATTTTCCGCACTTGATATTTGATATTGTCCATAATTTATAGTTTTCAGGGATTTTTTCCGATAGTCTATACTATTTAGTTTAAGGGGCAGTCGGAAAATTCAAGGCTTTGCTCTAATATACGAGCAACCTTGTTTTTTTAATCAAGCAATTTTTGAATTTTTAACTAAGCCTTTTTGACAAAAATTTTTCACTCCATCTGAAACATATTGTTATCTTAAGCTCAAATTTAAACAGATATATCAATTTTGATTATTTTAAAAAAGTTGCAGTCATCTGAAATTTGCTTTTTTGACCAATTTGGGACTATCAAAGTGCGATTTATGTGTACTTATAACACGCGTAAGTAGCAAAATAATGCAAATGAAGTTGAAATGAGTAAACGTTTTAAATTTATTATCACAAAACGAGACAT